GTGCCCATGTCCTGAAATCACTGTGCGAGGGGCGGGATACACCCTGGACGGGTCTCCAGTCCATCACAGGGACACATAGAGACAAACGAGACAAACAACTATTCACTCTCTCACCTAGGGACAATTTAGAGTTACCAATCAGTCTACCATACATGTTTTTAGTCTGTGGGAGGAAACTGGAGTACCCGGAGAAAACCCACACATGCACGGAGACAACATGCAAACTCCAGGACCTGCTCACTGAGAGGCAGCAGCTGTACCAGTTGCGCCACCATGCTGCCCATCCATATTTCATATTTGCTATAATTTCCTATTGTTAATATTCAAACTGACAATAAACATTACAGAATTGTGTATTTAAATAATTGGATTCTTTGTCTTTTCTTTGAGAGAGGGGGATTAAATTTGTTACCAGAACTCGCATATATGTTTTGGAGTTGAGGCCGGTCAACATTTATTACATAACTTGAAAGGTTAGTGTTTACACCTGTTTATGGGTGTTCAGACCACAGCCTTCCACTATACAACACGTTTTCTTCTCACAGACCAAGAACCTGCACATCCAGGTGTCCCTGTAATGGACTGGAGACCTGTTCATGTGTCCCTTTAATGGACCGGAGACCTGTCCATGTGTCCCTGTGAAAGACCAGAGATTTGCCCAGGTGTCCCTGTGATGGACCGGAGGTCTGTCTAGGTGTCTCTGTGATGGGAGCAGTCATCCTCCAATGCAAGAGTTGGGGGTTTGATTCCACCAGCAGTCACATGCTGAAGTGTCCCTGGGCAAGACACTGAATCCCTCATTGTCTTCGATGTGTGTACCATCAGTGTATGAATGTGATGAAGCTCTGACTGGTCTCTACCAGTGGTGATTTTAGCCTCTTCTTGGGAGACCTGTCCATGTAGCTTTGTGATGGACCAGAGACCTGTCCATGTGTCTCTGTGATGGACCAGAGACCTGTCCAGGTCCCGTGCACAGTGACTGCTGGAGAACAGCTCCCTGTGACCATGAATGGACAATTGTCTAAATAATGGATGGACAAATGGATTACTGTGTTCAGGACATCAAAATGGTCTGATCTGAATCTGGTTCTAAGTCAAATCTGACCTCAGGTGAACAAAAACACACGTTTCCACCACAAGCTCCGCCCCCGCCCTGCAAAGGTGTGAAATTCTCTGCAGGTGTGTGCTACAGGTGCTGCAGTAAAACTGTTTCTGCTCTAACAACATTACAATCAACGTGAGAGAGCAGAGGGTGTTTTGTGCTTCTCACCCATTTTCAGCTTGTAGGAGCAAGCCAACAACATCCTCAGTCCAAAGGGACGTTCATGTACTTGCAGGTTTAGCTGTAACTGTGGTAAAGTTGACACTGCATGCAGCTGAGCTCAGCTTCAGGGCTGTCAGACAAACATTAATCCGTTTTTCACCTCGCCCTTTTCTGCCAACACACCCTTGATCCAACACCACCTTCACTCAGGACACAGGACACACAGGACAAAATGCAACCATTTTAAAGTTACAGTACAATAGTTCATAATTTTTTATCTGGCAACCCTGCCTGGCATGGAAACTACATTTAAACAAGCTCTTTTTTGTTTGCTTTTAGTTTATTCATCCCAATGAACACTGGAAAAAAACACTGAAGTTTCCAGAGGCCGTTATCGAGTAAACAGGACATCTTGATGGTTTATGGTTGATGTCCTGCTGTGTCATGACCGGTGTTGTCCCAGCTTCAGCCGTAGGACCATTGGCTGACTCTAGAGGGACTGCAATCCTCTGGTCCTGACTAATAACTGGGTATAACATGGTAGTTCATACTGCATTACTCAAACGCAGAATGTAGCGGTTATCTAATATTCACACTTCAAATATTTTCACTGCAGATGGATGATTTAAATTGTTAATAAGTTCTAAGCGTGCATTGATAAAGTTTGGTACCAGGAAGTGATCAACCAGAGGCAAAAATTCCCCATTCACAGTCCATCTGATTTTGAATTGTTTTATTGCTACAAGTCATACTCTTGATTATAAACTGTTTATACTTTATATTTACCTTTTGAATTTTCTTTTAGGATTTTGAGTATTTGTTCCTTTGAAGTTCTCTGCATGGTCTTGATGAAGCCCCTGTCAAAGGAATTTAGGTGGCTTATCACTAACTGCATCATGAAAGACCCCACTCACCCAGCACACACACTTTTTGCCCCACTCCCCTCAGGAAGGAGGTTGAGGAGCATTAAGTGTAGAACCACTAGACTGAGGAACAGCTTCTACCCTGAGGCTGTTAGACTCATGAATCTCTAACCAGAATAATCACTGTGAAAAATCACATCATGTTGCTGCTGATCTGTTTCATGTTGCTGCTGATCTGTTTCATGTTGCTGCTGATCTGTTTCATGTTGATGTGTTCATGCGTGCACATCTGCTCACAGACTCATGTTCATGTTTGTGCTGATGTTCAACGTAATGTTTTTATGCTATTAGTGCTTAGTGTATATTTAGTTGATGTTTTTCTTAGTTCATATCTTAGATGTTATTACTGTTTTTCTTTTACATTTTATTGTTGGATGTAACTGGGACCCTGTGGACATATTGTCATTCCACCACATGTACCACATGTGGTGGAATGACAATAAAGAATCTCTGACTCTGACTAGCAAATGTTAAATTAATGTGTGAGTTAGAGAGTTGTGTCCTCAGAGACGCACCTGATAACTTCAAGGTCTCCTCGTCTGTAAGCTGGAAAGCGAAGTGGTCTCGACCTGGCCTCTGTGTGATGAGCGTGTGTTAAAGCACTTCCTGCCTCTCTGTCCGGCGCAGATTCTCACTGACAAGCCTCGTGTCACTTTAAACATCTATGTGAACTCTGTCCTTGCAAGAAAACTGGGTGGGAAAATTTTCTTCTGTCATCATGTGTGAGCTCCTTTTTTAAGTAGATGATGAAAGGATATGTATTTTAACCAAAAGCCCCCAACTGTTACATTTGGATATTTCAAGTTTAAGCTTTTTTAACAAATATTTTTCCCCTTTAGATTAATTCTGGATTACTTCAAGGAAGAAGCGAGTGATGGAGGGATGATGAATGGATAATGGATGGATGAATGATGGATGGATGGATGGATGGATGATGGATGGATGGAAGATAGATGGATGGATGATGAATGGATGGATGATGGATGAATGATAGATGTGCGCGATAGATGAAGCTTTTGTCCTTGGATACTCATGACCCAGGAGAGATTGATAGTCAGCCCATCTCCGAGGCCGTCGGGAGTCAGATTCAGATAAGCTTGATTCTTGTTTTTCTTCAGATTACTTTTTTCTTCAGCCTTGAGTCCATCTGGGCGTTCTGGTTCCGAAAATGCCCAATTGTGGGATTCCATTCCACTGATCCATGCTATGAGTCTCCTTCAAGGTCAAACCCACCACGCTGACGAGTCCCAGAAGCCGCAGGTGGCCTGTGATTCTCATAAATCGCCTCCACCTTACGGTTAAGCTCGTAGACCAGACGATTTAAAGTTCCCACAGCGAGGACCAGACCTTCACACTGACTCGGGAGCTTTTCCATGGCCGAAACTGCTGCCGCCGTCTTCTTCAAAAGTCGATAAAACAGAGCCCCGCCGATGTCAAAAAGCAGAGTCCCTGCTATCATAAGTCCAAATATTTAAACGTCTTCAACATCCTCCTGAGACAGGACTGAGAGACACATCAGCTGCCACACTCCCCACGAATCCATGACGTGCCCCACAGCGTGAGTCTCAGCTGGACACGCCGGTTCTCCAGGACCTTGTCATTTTGATGAAAAAATCGTATCAATAGAGTTGAACGCCCACGATACCAAATCCATAATCTTCTTAATTTATGTTCTGGAGATGAGACCCAGGCGCTTCAGACAGACAGAGAGCAGAGCAGGAGGAAAGAAAAACGGGAGGTGAAACAGAAGCTGCCACCTCGATGAGAGCCTGGGAGGAGAAAAAAAAAAGATAAGATAGAAATAGTATCAAATGAAAACTATTCAATTTTAACAATTCATTTAAGGACATGAGGTCAGTTTGTCCTCTAGTAGTCTAAGTCTATAGCAGCATAACAAGCTGACCCTAACTATAGGATTTACAATAAAGGAAAGTCTTAATCCCAGTCTTAAACTGGACAATGTGTCAGCCTCACGGACAGAAACTGGAAGTTGGTTCCACAAGAGAGGAGCCTGAGAACTGGAAGATCTTCCTCCCATTCTGCTGCTGGAAATTCTAGGAACCACAAGTAAACCTGCAGTCTGAGAACAAAGTGCTCTGTTAGGAAAATATGGAACAATAAGATCTAAATTCAATTAAATTCAGTTTATTTATATAGCGCCAAATCACAACAAAGTTGTCTCAGGGCATTTTACAGAAACATTCACATACAATATACTTTGTAAGTAATATAAGATGGAGCTAGGTTGTTGAGAGCTTTGTAGGTTAGAAGTAAGATTTTGAATTCTATTCTGGATTTGACAGGGAGCCAATGGAGAGAAACTAAAACTGGAGAGATGTGATCTCTCCCAGTAACTCCAGTTAAGACTCTGGCAGCAGCATTTTGGATCAACTGAAGACGTTTTAAAGAAGTATTTGGACACCCAGATAATAAACCATTGCAATAGTCCAGTCTAGAC